TATATATATATATATAATTCAACGGTTGCGGGTAAACGGTAGGGTAATCAAGGTCGGGTAACGGGTTTTTCAACTATACCCGCACCCGACCCGGGGTTCGGGTAGCATAATTCTACCCGAACTCGACTCAAAACCCGACCATCTCAGGTTTATCCGACCCGAAAATGCGGGTAACCCGACCCTACGGGTTTTATTGACATCCATAATCATAAACTAATTAGCAGTTACAAATGCACCACATCAGTTTACCGGTCCTTCCGGTTTCCCGTCATCTCTTCCCCCAATGTGCCAATTATATGAGACCGAGATACAGAATAGAGGGGAGATCGAGTGTGTGTGCCGCGCTAGGGTTTGCAGAGGGTGAATCTTCATCCTTCTGCGCCGTCGTTTTTTGTTTGTTCTTCTCTACTTTTTATTATCCCAATAGGACATACGTAAGCGATCTCCGGACATGGCGGCGACGCAACCGTGGGCCGCTGCGCCGGAGAACCAGCGGAGAGGAGAGGATCCGGGCGACGATTTCCATGAATCCGCGTTCTTCAGTCGCGGATGCTGCTACTTGTGGAATTTTCCGTGCTCGATCTCGCGGAGGAGAGAGAACTGGGAGCGGATCTCGGTGTCGGAGGCGGATATGCCTGAGAAAAGCCGCCGGAGTTGGTGGGGGAGAGGAATCGACGCGCTGAAGAAGGTGAGGGAGTGGTCGGAGCTGGTGGCGGGGCCCAAGTGGAAGACTTTCATTCGCCGGTTGAACCGGGCCGGGGCGCGGTCCAAGGCTGGGAAATTCAATTACGACCCGCTGAGTTACGCATTGAATTTCGACGAGGGGCAAAACGGTCAGTTCGAGGACGACAGGATTTTCTGGGACTTTTCGACGCGGTACGCCGCGATCCCGGTGCAGGGCAGCGGTCAGTTGAATTGAAGGGAGGTTCCGGCGCTCACGGGCGTGATGTGCGGCTTTGGCCTTCGCTGTTCATATAATTTTGCCGGTTGCCGAGTGTGCCCTGATTCCACTACTTAATTTTTTTTTTTTACAGCTAATCAATTTGTATTTACTATTTTTTTTCCTTGTTTCTGTCCTTTTTTTTTTCAAAGGATTATAGTTTATAGACTCTTTTAGGCTGCGTTTGATTCACATCGAAGTATGCTTGATACAATGTTACTTATATTTCAAAGGCTATCAACAAAATTAAGTCAATGTATTAAATTGTTTGCTTGGAGTTCAGTGTCACAGAATATCAACACAATGAACTAGTTTGGTTCGATACAAATTATGCAATAATGGACAGCTCATCAATCATCAAAGCATTGTGACTTTTGTACTCTTTAACGATGATAGGTAGGGCTGACATTTTTTTTTTTTTATTGAAAACAAAATTGAATTGAACCGGCGAGAAAATAAATCGAATTGTATGGGTACTGACTTGTTATCGGGTGGGTATCGGTTTCAAAATCATAAGGGTTCTGTTTTACCTAACCAAATCGATTAGGAATAAAAAAAGTAACTAAATTTACTAGCTGTTGTAAATATTAATTTGTGGACATTACCTAGATATAGGATTTGTAGGTATGGGCCAGGAGCCCATTAGGTATTTACTCATGTACATTGTATTCCCTTATATATAAGGCTCAAGTGAATGAATAAGATGATGGTTTTTACGGCGTATCTCTTCTCTCTTATTCTTCTACTGCTTTCTCTCTTTTTGTCTATCTAATCTTACATATTGATAATTTATATTACAACACGTTATCAGCACGATTACTCAACTAAGCGAACGGCAGCATCATCTAGATGAACGGGCAATAAAGGTAACGATCGAGAATTGATGTATGCGACGAACGGACAATCCAAGTAACAATCAAAATTGACGTATGCCCTAGAAAAGAATTGTGTCTTTTCTGTCAAGGTAACATTTAAAATCTATTCAATATCTATTATGATCTATTAGTTTTATCAAATTTGCGTCAAGGTATTTTCAATCCCTTTCGTGAATAAATGATTATTTCTATCTTGTGCTTTAAGAGAAAGTCTAGGCATCGAATCTGATATTTTGTATGTTTTTGTGATATAACTGACTTTAAGGTGGTGTATATGAGATAATTGAATCTACTTGCTTTTGTTAATGATCAATAATATCATTCAGGGATGTGACTATGGGTTTTATTTTTTTTATTATGTTACTTTCAAGCTTCTCTCTGCACAACACATGAATAATGGTGGCGATTGTATGTCAGAAGTTTTCATCTTGTTTGGCTAGTCAAGATTCACCCTACTTTTCTGTTAAGCATTATTCTGTATAAAAAAAAAAAGGGTTTATTATTTAGATAAGTATTTTTGATGAGTAATTTTTTTTTTCAATTAAATGTCGTATTTCAAGCATGCCCTTAGTTTGCAATCATTGTGAGTATTTTGTTATTTATCATAATTGAGCAATGAAATTTTAATTATGGGTAAAGAATGATTTGAAGTTCTTTGTTGGGCAAGATCTCACCATTTGCGTGTATCAATTCATATAATTATGAACCATGTGTTACGTTTTATTTTGGGATTTTTGTTTGACCACAAAGTTCTGTGCAACCATATCTTGTCTCTGTTTGATTTATGAGAGCTTGAATTAGATTTATTTATTCACAAAGCAATTCAAGTCCCGACTCAAAACTTTAAAATTCGTGTGAAATTATAAGTATGTCTATTGTATATGAGAGGAAAATTATATTAAAAAACATGGTGAAAATATTAGATATATTTTATTGATGTTACATAGCTCAATTTATGATTATCTTTATAATATGGTTGGATAAGAAGATAGAATTGTGCAACTATCAAAATGGTGAGATATTATTTAAAGAATATATATCTATCCAAATGTATAAGATTCAATTGAATACTAGTAGTCCCAGAAGGACACTAGTATTAAACGTTGATGGATAGAATGATTAAAATAATACATCGGTTGTCTATAAGATGTCAATCATTATTTTATTTATCGATAGCTTATTAGTTGACAATGAAATTCTTATACACTCCCTGAAGGATATTTTACAAGTTAACGATAATGTTTTTATATACCCCCGATGGATAAACATCGACGTAAGTATCTCCCATAAATTCAAAATAAAGTTTTGGTATACTCCCTGCAGGATCAACACCAATACAAGTATTAAAATAAAATAATGACTACACTATGAGCAAGTCTTGATGAATAATTTTGAATTAAGTTGTTATCGAATATTTTATGATTTGTTATGAACAGTTTGTATTCCTGAAGTAATACATGAGAATAATGAAATCCAACCATGGACACAATATATTACGAATAGTGATATAAAAAGTAGTTTATTGAGATTGTATTAGTGCCAGAAGCACATATACAAAAGTATAATTTTTTATGTGAGATATATGATAGAAAATTATGTATATTCTATAATACTATACATTTCCTTGACTTAATTGTCCTTATTTGTATATGAGCATCTCTTGTTTGCATATATCATATCATTCTTCACATTACTTGTTAAGATTTGAAAGTGGTAACGCACGTAATATATATGTAGCAAACATTATCCTCTGGTAAGAATTATTTTCGATGATGAATGAAAAAAATATTTTATATCTTATGTAACGAAATCTCTCATATTTCAATTGTCATACTCCTGAAGAGTTGTAAAATAAAAATGTCCACATATATTATTGATTTGTCCATGTATCTGATTACTCATGAAACATATGTGGATTAATTTTAACATGTGAACTGTGTATGTTGCTTGAATATAGATGGTGAAGCTATCAAAATATGCAATTATATCATGAATTTAGTTTGGAAATGATAGTTTCATATTTTTTTCGTTGTTTTATGCATTGAGTACGGACGTGATCCAAATTTATTGATCATATATCAATTTGAATATCTTGAACTTTAGTCTAATTGACTGATGAACCAAATGAATTGTATGCAACTCGTATAGTTATTTTTTTATTTTTTTTAATCCTATCATGAATTGTAGAGCAAATATCCTGTTGAATTTTATGCTTACAGATTTAAGTACCCAGAAGGATTATATAATTAAAGTATGGCTAGTGAATTTGAATACCTTATTGACCTAGATTTGGATATTCCTGAATGATTGGTCCGGTTGACCAGTATAATAATCGCATAAAAAATTATCTAGTCAGTATCCTTGAAAGATTAATCTAGTAGATAATCTTGTTGATTTTTGGATAAATTCATGATCTTTTAACTTTAGATCAGCTCTGCATATTGAATATACTCTGATTAAATTATGAAACAAAAATGTTCCCAAGATTAAATCAATATACAAGTTTTCTCAAATTATTTATGTTTGCTTGTATATTTGATAAGATGCATATCACTGACTCATATTGTTGATAGCTACAATAAAAGGCTCACAAGCAAAGTACAGTTGTAGTGCCTGAAGCATATAGTGTTCACTTAGAAATGATTATTATACTTTGATGCCCAACTTATATATTTGATAATTAGCATGAGGAGTTGGATCATATTGGGCAATTATTTACGATTATTTCCCCCTAAAATAATCGTAAATATATAATAAATATATGATGTATGAAAGTCCGCGGAAAATGTATATTCAAGAATTAATACTCCTTTATGAGAAACTCCTGAAGAGTTGATCCAGTACATCTTGCACGTGCATCAAACCATTATAGTACTGGAAATGCGGAACAACCAAAATTAGATATTATGGGAAATGATTATAAATATGACTAATAAATAAGAAGTTGCATATATGGTTGAGAGAAAAATATAAGTTGAATATCAGTTGTCGACAACATACTTGCCTATGTGATTTCTTTACTATCTCATATAATATCCGGAACAAAATAATGAAAGTGCTAGAAGCACTTAGGTTGATTGAGATAGAAAGAAAAATTGAGGCTGAGCTTTCACTCGCTACACGATATATCCCAGGAGGATAGCATATCCCAGAAGGATAATGAATATTTATATGAAACATGTGATGTGGTGGTGTGATGTAAATATATCGAGATTATGCTCATGGGTTTATGCAGAGACCCAAATGTTTATTTAGATAAGTTCTCTCATTATCAATGATTCCACAAGTTAATATTTATGTCAGTATTATTACAATGACTATTGAGTCATATGTGAAAGTCCTGGATGGACTCGAGTACCCGAGATGAAAGATAATTAAATGATAAATATTTTCATTATTTAAAGTTGTTGGTGAGATGTGGTATAACCAACTAAATTATTCCTGAAGAAGTAAAATAAGAAATTCAAGGTAGAACCTTATGTATAATGATATACAAAATGATCATCTCGGCCAAATAGATTATGTGGTGAACACTATGTAAAATACTAAATAAGTTAGCTCATGCTTATAGACGGAGTAAGGATGAAACTTTTGGTTAAATACCAAAGAGTATTATCTCGACTTGTAGATCGAGCATCTCCTAGAAGGAATATTTTTGACCCAACCAATTTACTTGAATCTCTTTTAGAGATGTAAAATTGTAACACCAATGAGTGTCAAATATTTGGCATTTGACAAAGATCCAAAGAAACAAATGAGGATATTATAGGACCTGGAGTTCAAATGGACTTGAAGTCCACAAACGACATGAAGTTTATTTATCAAGCGCAATTGTGCTGGACTTTTATCTCGCAAACTGCATCAGGCCTGATACTGCATTTACGATGAATTTGTTAGCAAGATTTACTATTTCTCTTCTTAAGAGATATTATGATAAATTTGAGATATCCCATTATGTTTTCATGTATGTTGAGTTATCTTTAGACTTGATATATGATATTGGTGGATAGCATGGTTTTAAATAGCGCGCTATAGCGGCGCTATAGCGCCGCTATAGCGGCTCAGATCAGCTAACGCCAAGCTATTGCTGTTTTTGCCGCTATT